TTCGTTTAAGTAGAACTAAAACTGAATACATGGAATGTAATTTTAGTAGTAATAGCTCTAGTGACAGATGTGTGACTTTGGGTGATCAAATTATTAAAAGGTGTGAACGATTTATATATCTTGGGTCCGTTGTTCAAAGCGATGGTGATATAGATGGGGATGTTAATAGTAGAATTCAAGTTGGTTGGTTGAAGTGGAGGAATGCTTCGGGCCTTTTGTGTGATAGAAAAGTACCGCTAAGACTGAAAGGAAAATTTTATAAGATGGTGGTGAGACCTGCAATGCTCTATGGCGCTGAAGGTTGGCCTTTAAAAGCGAAGCATAATAATAAGTTAAGTGTTGCCGAGATGAGAATGATTAGGTGGATGAGTGGCTTTACACTTAGAGACAAAATGCGGAATGAATATATTCGTGATAGGGTTGGTGTAGCTCCTGTGACAGACAAAATTAGAGAAAGTCGTCTTAGATGGTTTGGTCATATTAAACGTCGACCATTAGATGATCCGATTAGGAGAGTAGATGTTTTAAATTCGACTTGTGTTAAGAAAGGCAGAGGTAGACCTAGGAAGACTTGGGCTTATTGTATTAAAAATGATCTTAATTTACTAGAACTAAATGAAAATATGACACTAAATAGGACGCAATGGAGAAAAAGGATTCATGTAGCCGACCCCACGTAGTGGGATTAAGGCTTTGTTGTTGTTGTTGTTGTTTAATAGGCATCATGTGCTTATTAGATTATCATCGTATTATTATAGGATGTTCTCTAGACGAGCATACCATGCGAATGATTTACATTTTTAGTGGACTACAGTATTTGATAATTTTGAGAAACCCTCCACTAACCCTATCTGGATGTTTTTCCCTCATCTCAAGATACATTACATCAACAAATCCACATTATATTAATTGGGTTCAATTTTTGACAAACTACCATAAGTTGATGGTGCTACTACCAAATTCTCTTGACTTGCTATGGTCTAAGTTCTTGTTCATATTGTTATTTCTACCTTTTGGGCTCAAGTGCTATGGATTGACAATTTTTCTTATGTTTATTGACAAAAAATTATATTTGTGGGCTTGTCCGCATATTGCAAATCTTGTAATTTTTTGTCATAATTTTTTTAATTGCTTCAAAGTACATCCAAAATTAAAAAGAAAATCATCTTGTAATTTCCACTTATTAGCTCTTTTTATCATATCATGAATGCATAGCATAATTGTGCTACCAACATATGATCAAATGGAGACTTCTAATATGTCGAGTGCTACTATCACTACCTTGGTTCCCTAATAATATACTTGTTGGTATCATCCCCCATATTCTAACTAGTTTAGAAATTAGGTATTTCACTTTACTAAAAGCCATTTGTAGGTTAGATTGTTGTCAACTATTGAGGATCGTATTGCTACTCTTACTGCCTCCTTTCATTGCAATACTATAGTGATTTTCGCCAATGTCAATATTCTCTATTTTAAATAAGAACTATCTAATCTTAAACATCTATTACCAGTGGAAAAAGTATTTCACCTAATATTTCTCATTGAGACACTAATCAAAAGAAAATATTTCTCCATTATCACAAATTTATAAAATTCCAAGTGAAACATTAGAATGCTCCTAAAAATTTTGGCATTTTGGACTTCGTCGATGTTTTGAAGTCAGCATGATCCACTTCTCTAAGATAGTTTGCTCTATATGTTTTCTATTAACATGAACTTATGTATTTTTTTCTTTCTTGATGGCAATGTCATGTAAGGTGTATCATGTATATTTTCACCAACTCATCATAAAATTTCAATGATTTGAAATAAAAAATTGTTTGGTTAATCGAAAGAAAATCTTTCTCCATTATCCCAAATGTGTAATAATCTGAGTGAAATATTATCATGTTCTAGACAAATTTGGCATTCTAGACTTCGTCGATGTTTTAAAGTTGACACGATCTACTTCTCTAGGATAGTCATTGCTTTATATTTTTTATATTAACATGAACTAAAGCATTTTCTTTTTCTTTCTTAATGGCAACATTATGTAACGTGTTATCATGTATATTCTTCGCCAACTCATCAAAAAATTTTATCACGTTGAAAAAATGTGAGTTCGTGGTTGAACATATTACTCTTAGTGACTTTGACTCTAGCTTCCTTGCTGAGACTAAATGATCTAATAGTTTTCCCTTAGCTAGTCCTAACTAAACATAGACTGGTTGATGGCTTGCCCTAGGCCACCTTATATGCAGTCTAGTGGTTATCTTGTGCTAGGACCTAGTGTTCACTAAGTTAAATGATCTAATAGTTTTCCCTTAGCTAGTCCTAACTAAACATAGACTGGTTGATGGCTTGCCCTAGGCCACCTTATATGCAGTCTAGTGGTTATCTTGAGCTAGGACCTAGTGTTTACTAAGTTTACTTGTACTAATGACCCTAACCTAGCCTCCCTTAGTTAATTAAGTGGACTGCTGACCCAACCCTTAGACTGTTGTAGTAAACTAAAAAAATTTACATTATACTTTAGGCTCTACTTGTCCTAGTTGAGCTAAGATGGCCAGGTAATTTACTTGAGTTTATTCCAGTTGACCCTATACAAATCAATGAGCAACTCTAAATAGTCTTAATTGATCCTAAGTTTCCTGTGCCATGGAAATTCCATGGGGAACTGTGAAGTGACATGCCATCTTGGACTGATGATCTCCACATCATTGGACCATAAGATCTCAGAATAGCAAGGTTCACTTTATGGTGGATTGTGTCCATCCTTATTGTCTCTTAAAATAAATGACTCTCCTAGAAAATGGAGCTAGGAGTGGTTCAATTGATTTTAGTGTAAGTAGTTCTTAGGCAATTCAAGCAGCATACATTATACAATTCTTGTAATTGATTACATAATTATATTATGGGCCTTTGTAGTTAATTTCTATAGTTAATTCAAAATTTGTGAAGGTTCTCAACTTTTGTTGGTGATAGCCTATGCTCAAAATAATCCTTTGAATATCACTAAACATCAATAAATAGGATTTATATTCCGCTATTGGGGGTTGAATTGTAAAAATCCCATTTCAATTCTAAGAGTTGATTTGTATGTTTATTGTCACTCACCCTTACTATGTGATTACTCTTTATTGGAAGTTAATGTTCTTTTAATATTTTGGAATAAAGGACTCTAGAAAAAATATATGATAATATGAATATAAATATATTGCTTTTAGTCTCTTTTTTTCCTTTTTCTTAAAGAAAATTTCTAATACCCTTCAAGCACTTGTGTTAGTGTGATGTTGAGTTCATTAAGTGGAAGTCATCTCCTTGTAACAATATGAGGTCTATTTTTTCTCCATGTGATGAATTTATATTATCTTTCATCCTCATAAATAGAATTGAGTTTTGTAAGTGTGATTGACCTTAGCCAAATTAGCTACGAGTGTTTTCCTAATTGTGGCATAAATTCCAATCAAATTGCTCTTTTTTTATTACTTAAGTTCAACATTGATTTCTTTTTTTAAGAAATCACTAAATTAACATTTAATGCATATTTCTATATTTTTAATTCACATTAAAAGAAATCAAGCGCATTTTGTAATTGATAATCTTTCAAACAAGGATTTTTTAATTTCCATCAATCATCTACATTAGGGATTGTGGACCCTAAAGAATTTTATCGTATGCAATTTCAAATATGATTTAAATGAAATTTACATAAAATATTGCCCATCAGTTGTTTTGAGGCATCTAAAAGCTATAGTTGGATAAATCATTTTTTGCAGTGTTTTTGGGTTTAGCAAGATAATTTAAATCCTAGGAAGAACAATATTTAAGGTATTTAACAGATTTAGATGTTTTTAGTCCTTATATTCATTTAAATATTATATCTTGATAAAAAAACAAACAATTTATTTGAATTTGATTACATTTAACAGCGGCATACAAACAGTTTTTAAGATTTTATAATTTCATCATTTATTAAATTAAGATTTAGAGATTTACTAAATCCTATTTCTAGCCAAACGGTCCTAAGAAAACCTGCATCATCAAGAAAATAAAGGCAACGGAGAACACAAGTCATGTATAGACATGGATTAAGTGCGATGAACAGAAAAGCAGAGCATGAAACAAAGGGCAAGAAGACTTACTATCTGATAACCAAGAATGCTCCTTGAAGTCGGATCATCCCACACAAGAAGCAGAACCCTCACTCCCTCCTGCGACTTGGATTTCAGAAGACTACCCAACGTGCAGCCAGGTCCAGAACCAGCATCCCGCACCAACTTAACAGTGTGGTACACCGACCACCCTGTGATATAAATCAAACGCCGAGCCTGGCTTATCGCCTCAAATATGTCCCGCCAACATTTTCCATGTTCATAGCGCACTCCCTGATCCAACTTTAGGTCAGGTAAGCAACCATCAGGAACATGAGCATCCTGATAGAGAGTGACCTTCCCTCCCTTCCTAAGCGGGAAATAAGTACCTGGAACTCCTCCATAGTCAGGACCGGCACCAACACCTAGGTAATACATGCCAAGCTTCTCAATCGGGAAATACTGAATTGATAACTTCAGCGTTGCTCCGGGCTTACAAGGCTTCCCATTGGAACCAAGAATCGGGTAGACGCCTTCCACCTTCTCACCAGAATAAATCCATTCAGCGGGGATGGACACAGAACCGATGAGCTGAGACCCAACGATGTCATTGTCCTTAACAAAGAACACGACATCCGCAGCATGATGTGCCACCGGGACGTAGAAATGCTGCACCCAGACTGGGAACTCGCTGTTACTGATAACATAAGTCCGGCCAACAACAGCGCCGGAGACGGTGATGGACACGTAGGGATCGCTAGTCATTGAAGATACATGCTCCAGCTTGCTGCTGAGGGAGCTGGTGAGCCGACGGCCCAGCATGTCGCCTAGGGTCTTGGAGAACATGTCCATATTGGGAAGGTTCCGCGCCTCTAAAACCCAGATATCAAGGCTTCCATGCAGGAGGAGAACCTTGAGAGAGGGCTGCAAGGTCTGGTCACCAACGGGAACGATCTGCCAGTGCTGCGATCCACTAAGCGGGGAGGCCGACCCGTGGTTGGAGAAGCTCTCGGAGAAGGATTGGCTTGGGCGGTGTCCGTGCACTGGATGGTGTTCGGGGACGGAGGTGGGATGGTTGGAGATAAGCGGTGGCGCTGTAGGGGCATCCGAGACTTGAATGTTTGCGAGCAGTTCTTCGACGGGATATAAAGAGGAAGAAGAGGGAGAGGGCGTATAAGTCGGGCGAACGGCAGCGGGTGGATCGGAAGGGGGGATAGGGTGAG